ATGTGATTTATTGTAAATAACATTTGTAAATTGATGTTTTATAGTCATTTAGATTAGTTTATTGTAAAAATCCTGAAGATGCACATTGTTGCGAAAACGTTTGAAATTTAATTTTTAGCAAAAATTTCTTCGAAATTCTTTCCGTGCATTTTGTAAATTCTGTTCGATGACACTGCACCATTCTGATGGAGATAGCGCAGGACTGCTTAATCAAAGGGTAGACAAAGTTCTTTTTGCCTTGAGCATTGACAGTGCTCCCGAAGGGCGCAATCTTAATATGAAAGCAATAAAAAGGAACAAAACTGAAAGTGCTACAGACAACAGAACCCAAAATGCATTTTGGTCTTCTTGCTACTCCATATTTGTTGCTATTAAGCTCTGAATTTAATTATGCTCGGTTTTATATCGATTTTCCCGATTTTTCAAATTTTTAGGCTGGATACAGGCTAAACACTGTTCAATGAACACTTAAACTCCCACATTGAAACTGGGATGAGAGCTTAACTTAATTTTAAACATGATTTGAACGACTTTGACATTCGTTCTCGAAAATGTCTCATTGATGAGAAAAACCGTTTCAGTCTTAGCCAAAAAATGAGAGTGAAGTGATCTTGTAAAATAACGTTCGTTATGTTGAAATTCATCATTCAGGCTATAAAAATTTGATTTAAAATAGTGCTAAGCTGCATTTGGAAGCCTCACTTAGCGTAATGACTTCATTTAGCCTAAAGTTTTTACAAAAATTCGAAAAAAAGTATGCAGAATTAGAACAAAGTTTGATTTTTTTGAAGTTTTTTTTTCTTTTTGGTTATCAATTTTTTGAAGACGAATTAAGCTTAGTTTAATTGAATATTTCATACTCGTATTCATAGTTTTTTTTCATCATACCGCCAACAAAAGCAAGATTGATTTAAAAAAAGAGAGAACTAAACTTCAAAAAAAACACGAACAAAACAAGATTGATTTAAAAAAGAGAGAACTTAACTTCAAAAAAAAATTCTTCGAACAAGTTTTACATATTTCTGTGTTTCTTTTTCCTATTCGACAAAAATTTTTGCCAAATTTTTCTGTGACTGTCGGTTATGCCCTAGCTTTTGGCTTTCGTGAGATCATTTTATCTCGCCATCCACAGAACAAAACGACACTGAATTGAAAATAAGAGGAAAAGTATTTTTTATTGCGATTAGCAATGGAATCGCATTCGTCCAAGAGAATTTCTTTCCCGCAAACATTGTGTTCACAGGATGCATCTAGACACGTCTTCTGGCGAAACCTTGGTTCATAACGAGTTCAAGTTTGTTAGTGTCTCTTGCACACTAAACCTTGAGGCAGTGCTGGAGCAACCGGCTATCCTTGTTTTTCCACAAAATTAGAAAATTCAAGTTTGTCATCCATGGCTGTCTATCCGGCCCAATAGGTTTTGTTCACAGGACTCATCTAGACACGTCTTCAGGTGGAACGCATTGGAGATTTTTTTTTCAAACGTGAATTTTTGTGTTTCAAATTAAATTGTCGGTCTAACTTATGTCTGCTTATGTGTTTTGGGTCTTGATAGTCACATCTAAGAATCGTTTATTTTCGCGGTGAACATTTTTTTGTAGTTGGTCGTAGGGCTTAAGGAATTTGTTTATCCGGCCTTATATCCAACCTAATAGATTTTGTTCACTGGACTCATCTAGACACGTCTTTAAGCACGTCTTTAGCTGGAACGCATTAGAAGATTATCAAAAAGTTTCCCTCGTCGAGAAAAACCCGTCTGAAGTTTTTGAGAGGTTAGTCTAAATTCGAGCGAGGGGATCGAACGAGTAACGTGTTCGTTATTTGCACATAAGGCCGAAAAAGCTTGATTTCAATATAAAGAGAACCGGTTTTGGAAGCTTCTTATAGCGCTTCCTCGGCAAATATAAAATAGCATGCAAAAGTAAGCTTGTTTTAATGTTCGTTTTCGATTTGATAGTTGTCATTCATTTTAAAGTAAAAAAACTAACTTGAAAAAAAAAAGAAAAACTATTTTTTCCTTTAAAAAACTATTAGCAATGGTATCGCATTCTTGTAAGAAAAATTTTTTCCCGTTAACAATTTTGTTCACAGGACTAATCTAGACACGTCCTTAGGTGGAACGTTGCTTCATAGCGAGTTCAAGTTTTGCTGGTAACTCTTGCACACTTAGCGTGGAGGCAACCAACACGCCTGGAAGCAAGGGATGGTAAAAATCCTGGTTTCGAGTCTGACCGGAGATTTTTTTCAAACATGTATTTTGTGTTTCAAATTAAATTGTCGGTCTTATTTTGGTCTGCTTATGTATTTTGTGTCTTGGTAGTCACATATAAGAATCGTTTATTTTCGCTGTGAACATTTTTTGTAGTTGGACGTATTGTTTTAGGAAATTGTATATCCGGCCTAATAGGTTTTGGCTTAATAGGTTTTGATCTGTTGTATTTCGACTTATTGGCCAATGATTTGTAGTTGCTTTAAGTAATTTAGAATTTTGTATATCCGGCGTTATTTTTTTCAGCTTAATAGGTTTGATTCTAATTTATTATGAGTTATTGGCCTCTTATTGCGTCATTTGATGACTGAAAAAGGTTTTTTTCTTGTGTTTGTGTTCAGAGGGGAAGGGGACTTAAAACTCCTTTACTTAGATTTTTTTGTCGGCAATTAAAGTTACATCTAAGGTACTTTCAGCTTTATTCCCGCTTGATAATTTTTGTTCCGATGCTAATTTTCTATTCGAATGTCTGGGCATAGTTTTTCTAAGTTACCTTTACTCTTTTCGATAGATCATGTTTTTGTTTAGTTTATAAATATCAGTATTAAATATGCGTTATTAGATATTGGTTGTCATTTAAGCTTTCGATTTAATTTCCGAATTAATTCATTAAATATTTAAGTTATTTTCGTCGTATTAAGCAACGGTTTTTTGGAGTAAAAATCTGAAAAAAAAATTCAAAAACAATTTCTTCCGAATTTAAACAGGTTTTCGTTTTCCTATCATTTTTGGCAAAAATTTGCCCAATTTTACTGTGACTGTCGGTCATGCCGAAGTTCTATGTTTTCGTCAGATCATTTTATCTCTCCACGCACAAAACAAAACGACACTAATTTGAAAAAAAAGAGAAACTTTTAATGTATTTTTTAAATGAAATTGATTGGAGCATCTGTACTGCTTGCATAGCAAGCGGCTATTTTTTAGTTTTCCTGCACAATCAGATAACACGAAAAATTATCCGAATGCTACGGGTGATGTAATATATCAAAGCCCTTTCCGCCGTGATTCGAATGACATATAAAAATTTTCAAAAAAAGTTTCCGTTAAAAATATAAACGTCTCGGTTTGAAGCTGGATTGAATGACATTCACTTTATAAAAATTGGTCATTTAGCTGAGTAAAGTTCATTTTACTACCAGGAAAACTAGTATTCAAAGCTTCATTTAGAGCCTCCTTGGCAAAAAATATTTCTATGTAGATGAAAAACTATTGTGCAAATAGTTTTTTTAGTGTCTTGGAGCTGTCTGTTAAAGGAAGGGTACACTGTGATAATCTATGGTAAGGTGTCGTGGAAAAACTTTAAATTTATTTGAGTTTTTCTCTGATATCCTTGATAATAATTTAGATTTGCTATCCATAATGTCGATTTATTGTTCTGACCATTTGAAAAATGAGGAGGAACTTTGTGTTCGATGTGTTTAAATTTTTTATTTTGGTTTTCCACGCATCGGGTGCCACAAAGAATCATCTGAAAAGTTTTAGTGATATATCATATTAAAGCATTTTCAGTTGTGAATTGAACGACATTTTCCAGTGTTGATAAAAACTGGTTTGAAAGTTTTGATTCTCGGTCTAATTTTGAGCAAAGAAAGGCGATCAAGCAGGCTTAGAATAGCTTAATTATGCTTCATTTAAGCCACAAAAAGTCAATTCAATTTGAGTCAAGTTAGTTTTTGCAGTTTATTTTAAGCTATTTTTCGGTGGGAATCAAAACTAAACTTCAAAAATATTGGTAGTTTTGAAAAAAAATTTTCTACGATTGTTTTTTCTGTTTTCTAGTAATTTTTCTAAAAAATATTTTTTTCTAATGGGCCTATTTTACTATGATTGTTTCGAATATGCTTAAGTTCTAATTTTTCGTTCAGATCTTTTCTTCAAACGACGCAGAAAACAAAACAACGAATTTGGATTTTTTCTTTCGTATTTTTAAGACTATGGTCAGAACATTCTGTGCTATTTGCACAGCAACCGGCTATCGTTGCTCCTGATTGTAAAATGTGAAAATGACCTACACTTGCTTCTTTGAATTAATTTTAAATTGCTGATATAGTGTTCCGTTTTTGTTTGTATTGGTCGGAAAACGTTCTGTGCTACTTTTCCGCAACCGGCTATGGTTTTTGTTTCTCATGATGGTTTGTGTTTCTCTGTTCTGCAAGCAATTGAAGAAAACCCAGTGGGTCGAAAAGTATAGGAAATTCTTCTTTATAGGTTGTCTATGAGCTCTCTCATTTTGTTGGGAGCTGGCCTGACAGCTGTTGGTGTGGCCGGGCGATTTCTTATACGGAAAGGAGCTGGAGGAGCTTTTGGAAGTGGCATGTCCATGGTTTACTCTTATCTTTGTGCCTTTTATGATGTCTTTCTCGCCAGCTTTTTTAATCGAAAAGTGTTTCAGGCATACAAAGGAGGTTTTGAGAAGCAAATGTCAAAATCAGAAGCATGCAAAATTTTAAGCGTTCCAATGACGAGTACTCCGAAGCAAATTAGAGAACATCATCGCCGACTAATGATTGCAAATCACCCTGATAAAGGTGGCTCGCCGTACATTGCATCCAAAATAAATGAAGCGAAAGATTTATTGGACGCGAAAAAGAGATAACACAACGTTTTTTGAAACTTGTTTTGATTTTGTATACTACATTAATTTAGAAAAAAATAATGCTGCAATCGCTCTTTTAAGTTTTCCAATCTTTGGGCAACTCGAATAAACATTTGATTGAATTGATTAAATTAATTGTTTTTCAGACAGTTTTCATGAGTGTAATGAGAATAGAGCAATGGCTGAGTTCTCTCGGGTTTAAACAGTATACGCAGCTATTCATTGATAACGGCTATGATGATTTCGAGCTGTGCAAGCAGCTAAGAGAAAATGATCTTGACTTGATGGGAATCACAATTCCCATCGTCAAAGCCGAAATTTTATCAAGTGTCAACAGTTTAAAACATGCCGAAAATGCTGCCCATGTTTATTTTTCTATGGATCCGAACTACTGGCAAACAGACGGAACCATCAACAGTGCCTCGACTTTCAAGACTTGTCTCCAGGAACAAAAAGTATCAGTTGCGATTCAAGAATCAGATGACTCAGCCGACGTTTATAACATCGTCCTAAGCGAACTGGCAAACGACGGAGTCACGCCAGCAATGTTATTCACTTTTCCAGTTACCCTGAAAGCGAAAAGTGGAGAAAGAACTCCGGATAAAACCTCAGACAGTGGAAATGACTCGGATCTGGAGGAGATCTATTGTGCTCAAGATCTGGCCAGCATCTATGAAGAGAGGTTAAAATTACCACAAGACGTAAGTTTCGTTCAATTGTGTCTTGTAGTACCAATCGTAGTGTCCATCGTAAAACCGAATAATTTTTCCAAGGTGTAGGTTTTTGTCGGTGAAAAATGTGCTGAATTTTTGAAGCCTTCAAAACTAATTTTTTTGAACTCTGGGGTCGCTGAGAAAGCCTTGCTGACCGAAATTTCTGCGTCCCAGGTACCAAAATGCGGTTTTTGGACTTAGGTTTTAACCTGAAAATATAGAAAATGTTAATGTTTGTTCAACGGGAAGCGGATGCCGCATATCATTGACACGTGTAATTAAAGCTGCCACCCTGCCTTAATATTTTTTTATAATCGCATCAAAAAAGGTCCCTGAAATGATACTAACATTGACAGGAACCTTTATTTTAAAACCAAGTTTACGTCAGTTAAGCATTTTTTGATATTATTAATTTGTTTCAGAAAATCCTCAATGTTCTTCACTGCATACAACGTGTTCACTGCAAAAGAATCGAAAGTAGAAACGTTGACTTAAAAATTGCCAATTCTGCCAGTAACCAATTTAACAGTAGACGAAGGACGCCCAAATTACAGCAAAGAATGTCCAGTTTTGATTGCAGTACAGGTGGTAGTGAGCATAATCAGTTGGAAGCCGATCCTAGGTACAGTAATGTACCATTTGCGTCAAAGACTCTAGGCCGAATGCTCTCTTATCAAAAGCCGAAAAACATAGTGAGCGGTGTAACTTCTACCCTAAGTGGAAGTCAAAACAACATCAACAGTAGAACTCAGGAAAAGAAAAAGACGAAAGGCCCTACAAGCAGTAGCAGCAGTATTGGAACTTGCGAAAGTAGAGATTGCGATTTGTCTTACAATACGAATGCTTCGTCCAATAATACGGCAGACTATTCATCGTCAAATAGTTTAGATAGCGCCGCGTACTTGTTGCCGAAGTGAAATTAACTTTTTCAAAGTGCTACTATGTTAAAAAGCTAAAAGCATGTTGTTTACAAATTGAATGGTGTCATCATGTTGCTTCCAATTTATGTTGTTAAATAATGCTTTCAATGCGCAAGCCAAAAAGACGTTTTTCTCTTGCATAGATTTCAGTGTCCTTTCAATGATTTATATATAAAAATGGGTGTTTTGATGACATAATATGGATTTTTTGCGTCTTTTCTGCCATGTTCAAACTTAAATGTTTGCTTTGCTGTTGGTTTTGTTGCAAAAAGGCCCTTTTGTTTATTTTTGTTGAATGATTTGATTCCTTCCTTGATATTGATCTCGATAACTCTCAGGTTAAATTATAAGCTTTGACCGTTGATACAACCATAAAATATGTCTATCTTCTTAAAGATATCCGAGCTATTCTATATGCTGTTTTGTTGTTTTCAAAAGGTTCTTAAACTTAGTTAGTTTAATCATTGGGACGCCCTTTATTCATTTTGCCTTAACTGTTCCGATCAATTTTTTCTCTCATAATTGATTGGTAATCTTCATTTTATGTAGTTAGATTGATATTTATTCGAATTCAGAATGCTTCAAATTTCTTTTTGATTAAGATTGATTGAGCATGCGCTTGAAAATGGCCCTGATATGAGTCAAAAATGGTTCAATTGCTAGAGCAAGTCTCTTGTAATCGGGAAATCGAATTTGTCCCCGTAAACAACTCTTACAATCTATATCTGTACTATATTTACACTAGTGAACTTTAGTGGGCGTTAGTGTTATACTACGACTATTTTTTTTCTAACCTAAGTCGCAAATATTGGTGAAACTTTTGGGGAATCTCTATAACTTTTTGATAGCATGTGCTTTGACATGGAACAGTAATAAGTTAACACAGTTGATACATTTAACTTTCACCAGGTGAACCGAATAAAGCTGTTTGTTTTTCACAACATAACAATCATAAAAACTCGATTTCAGAACTTTTCTAACTCATTATATCTCGCAATTTTTTGAAATGCATTTTTGATACATAATGTGGCTTTATGCTTTCCATTTTATTACATGCATAAATAGTGTGGATGCCTTCATTTTGTTGTATTCCAAACTATTACTAGCAAAATTGTGTCTATTTGTATTTAGTGCAACTTCTACATCGCATTGGCAATTTGTTACCATATGTAGCTGCTTTATTTGAGACTAGAGTTTGCCGATTGTTAAGCGTCCGTGTTCAAGAGGGCAGGGCGTGATACTTCATTTCTCGATGTCGCAGGTTGGAAGACCATAGGTTGCAAAGTTTTTGTCCGTAGCTAATTCTAGGGTTGGTTCTATCTTGTTTCACTTTGAAAAGTTGCTTTTTTGCCGTGTTCTAGCTGGTGTTTGCGAAGCACAGCTTCGCCTCTTGTTAAATGTGTGTGAATTGTATTTCGGCATGTTTCAGCTATATTTACCAATGATTATGGGTCATTTATGCTATATTTACATGCATGTTACTTTTATCTCGCCACGTTTAAGCTATCTTTACATGATTGATATTTCTACGTAATTCGTTATCTTTATTCGTTAAGAGTCATAGCATATGTTTGCACGTTTAAACTGTATCGTAAATTGCCATGTTTAGGAAATTTAATCAAATTTCCAATTTAATAATAGTCAAGTCAAGATTTTTATGACCATTAATAACGCCTTTTAATGATGCCTTTTATTAATAGTCCTTTTGATAATGCTAAAAACCAATTAAAAGGACCGAATGTAAGGCTGAACCTATGATTGCAGCATGGTACTGGAGCAAGGTAATGCAGTGTAGGGTAATGTAGAGGGGAGATTATTGCATCTATTATTATATAACGGGCGTTTTCCGTCTCAGGGTTTATTCCACCAAATTTGAGTTCAGCAACCTTTTGGTGGGGTGCTGTCAGGGACCTCTCAGTGGTTGTAAATATTGCCTCCAAATATGACTGCTCAAATCCTTTCAATTTTCGAGATACGACGTGTTTGTAATTTTTTCAAAAAGTTTCACAAAACTTTGGTTTGAAAAACTTCACAAAATTTAAAATTCCAAGCTCTAAAGTGTGGTGCTGTCAGGTGCTCTCAGAAGTTGCAGTTTTTTTCTCGAAATGTGGTTGCCCTACTCCTTAAAGTTTCCGAAAAATTACTTTTTAATGATTTGAATAACTCGAAATTGTAAATCCTACAATTGGATGCTGCCTGAGTATTTTCAGATATTGCAAGTCTTTCTTCCAATTGTGACTGCACAAGATCGTTGTTTCCGAGATAGACCGTTTTTTATAATTTTTATTATTATTCAAAACATATTCGTGCTGTCCTTATACTGTCAAGAATTTCAATGTCGCCTGCGAATCTGACTGTTCAGCGCCTTTTAGTATCGAAATTGCCTTCCATTTTGATCTTTCAAAACTGTCAAAAAAATTTTCAGTCTTCTCAGATCTAACCAAGCAATCATTTCATCGAGCCGTCCATTCATCTAGCTATGAACCCATCTAGCAATCCATCCAATGATACATCCAGCCATCCATCCATCCATCATTACACCAAACAATCATTCAACCAGCCATCAAGTATACATGCCTTCATCTGTCGAAACATCTAGCCATTCACCCATTTAGGATCCATCCAGCCATTCATCCACCAAGCGATCCATCCTTCTGGGCATCCATCCATCCATTCATCACTTTCACCCTCTATACATCAATACAACCATCAAGCCATTCACCGATCTAGTCATCCTTTATAGGATACTTTAAGCCATCCATCCATCCATGAAGCCGTGCATTCATCAAGCGATCCATTCAAACAGCCATCAATTCAATATTTTCTTTACTAATTGGCTTATCCATTCAGCAATCCATCTATCAAGCCATCCATCGATCTTGCCATACCTCATCTAGCCATTCATCAAACCAGCCATCTATCCATAGAGCTGTTCATATATCAAGGTATCCATCTAGCCATGTATCCATTTTGCCTTCTAGTCATCAATACACCAAGCAAGGATCCGGCCATCCAAGCAGACATCTAGGCATCTATTCAGTCACTAAGCGATCCATCCTTTTAGCAATCATTCTTCAAGTTATCAATCTATCCATTCAACCAGCCATCCATCTATCTATTCAATCATCAGTCAATGGAATCAGCCAGCAATCCTTTCTCACATCCAACCGCCCTTTCACACATCCGCCTGCTCTTTCGTATTGCAGTCCATTCAAATAGCCATCCATCTATCTGGCCATCCAACCAACATTCATTTCTCAACCAAGCATCCATCTCACCAGCCATCTATCAATTCAGGATCACATGAACGATCTATTACTCCAACGATCTATTCATCACACGAGCTGTCTAGCCATCCATTCCTTCATCTGTCCTACTATCCATGTATCCGTCGATCCATCTCCTGTGTAGACTCTCTCCGTACTCATGCACCCACTCAACCTTCAATCATCCCTCCATCAAACCACCATCTATCTAGCCGTCGATTGATCCATCCATCCAGCCATCCATAGATCGAGCCTTTCAACCATCAATCAATCCATCCTGCCTTTCATCCCTTCTGTCAACCAGTCATCCATCTTTCAATTTAGCCGTATCCTGCCATCTATCCAACGATCTAACCATCTTAGCCGGTCATCTTTCATCCGGTGGTTTATCCGGCAGTATCCACACATTCAGCCAGCGATTCATCAGCGATCTAGCCATCCAGCTATCTAGATGTCCAGTAGTACGGCTATCCATCCCTCCGTATAGATATTTTTCCAGTCAGCTGTCTGTCCATCGCACCATCCATCTATCCTGACATCAATGCATCCATCTATCCCTCCGGCCTTCAATTCATCCAGCCATCTTCTCAACCAGCTAATTAGCCATCCATTCATGCAACCTACCTATTTTTCTGTTAATGATGAAACTTTTAGTCTGTTTGAAATTGAAATTGCGTTTTTCCTTTAGTTTGTAAACTTTCCAGGCTCTTTTCGGGAAAAATTGAATTTCTTTAGTTTTCAGCTCATTCGTCGGCTTGGTTACCCATCACAGATTTTTCATGTGCTGTAAGCAATTTTCATTGCATTTTTTTTACTAGCTCTGACTTGTTATGCTTTCTTTTTTCCTGTAGAAGTTTTTTTCTGCCTGCATGATATCGGCATGTTATTTTTATCCCCGGTCCGACTCAATGCAAGGCCATCGGCGGGGGAGGGAGGATGTCATCCATTTCGCCGTAGCCGTCTAACTTTGAGGGGGCGGATGACTCTCTGACCCCGCCAACCGTGACCGAAGCCGGCTTCCAACCCACGACCTTTGAGTTAAAAGCCGAGCGTCTCACGGATGCTTATATTTTTTTGTCTTATTCAACTCTTTTTGTCATTTGAAGAGCAAAAATTGTTAATAATTATGATAGATAGTCACCTTAAACGTATGTCACCGTAAACATGTATGAAATCTTTTATGGAAAGTCTTAGAACTAGAACGGACAACCCGTCCACCCGTAATGGCCTTAGTTTGTCTTTTTTTTTCACTTGACTACATTGTACTTGAGAATTATAAAGCAATTGATAAAACATTTCTCCTCGGAGTCAGAAAATTCTGCCAAAATAGCGGTAGAATTAGTTATTTGAAATGTCTCAATGGAAAATGTTTGAAACAAAATGACCTGTTCCTAGCATGCTTTCAAAGTCTGCTTTTCAGGTTAATTTTGAACAAAATAATCGTCTGATGTTAAGAGTAGATCATGATGTACTATGATTACAACATATTTGTTCCGTCGTCAACTTGGATCACCTCGTCTTAAGTTTGGCAGCAAATCTAGTCGAGGACTACGACCGGAGTTGACTGATGACGTCACAGCGAAGAGATGTCTGGTGGATAGGCAGTTCGAGTGGCTGAGGCCGACAGTAGAAAATGAGCTGAGCCCATTGAGTAGCTCTGCGATCACCTGGATTCAAATTGGTAAATCATTTTTAAACCTTGCGCTTTTTTTTGCTCCGACTGGTACCTGGATTCAAATTGGTAAATCATTTTTAAACCTTGCGCTTTTTTTGCTCCGACTGGTGTGTTTCCTTTTCTCCCGGTTTTGACTACCTCAAAGAAAACTCGTCGGGAGGCAAGTGAGGTAAAATTTTAGTCGCCCTATTGGTCTCCATTTGGATTCAAAAAAAATCACGAAAGACACGCGATGAGATTTATTATTCTATTAACGTAACTACAATATGAACGATATTGTAACTATTATTACCATTCATTCTTGTTTTTTTTACCTGAATTCAGTTGTCATTTCTAGTAAAAAAGCAAAAGGTAGTTTAGACAGAAAAGAAAAAATACAACTCTAAAAAATGAAAAAAAAAATACTAGTTTGTTTACTTCAATCAGTGTGTCGGACCGAGCCTTGATACGTTGAATTTAAAGCATTGTCTGTTTTATAACTATAGATTCTAAAGAATGACCTCGTTTTTTCAATTGATCTTTACATTCAAGTTTCTTAGAGTCACTGAACGTAGTGAAGACTCTTTAATAGGTCGTGGTTACTTATTTCGTTTTTTTGGAGAATTTCTTGAAAAGCTCTAATAACCACAGATATGCATTCATACATATTAGTGCATTTATGAATGCACTAAGGTATATATGCGTTTTTTGAGTTCATTTGAAATGCATCTGCTGAGAGTGACGTAAACAGCACTCTCCGAATACGAACGTGGAAATGATGCGAAAAACGTGAACGACCTCGAAAGTGGATGTTAATTATCAGATTTTCCAACGGATTCAAAGCTTAACTTATTGATCCAGTTTTCTCTAACTGAGTTGATTTTTTTTATAAAAGTGTCAATCATACGTTCGTTTTGAAATTTAAAGAGCGTTAAGGCCATGCATTTTTTTATTTTGAAGCAACTGGTAACTCTTGGTAACTCTTTCCAATAAATAATTTTGTTTACATCTTATTTGTTACAGTTTCAGTTCTTTCATAAAAAGTGTTGATCAAATGACAGTGAGTTTTGAGCTTGTATAGAGTTTGAGTTTTCCCCTCAATCGAAAAATAGGTTCGGTCCCGGCCGGAGTCACTTTTTGTTCCGATTATTGAAAATAGGGAGGAAATTTGTATTCAGGTGTGTTGTAGTTTTTTTCTGTTTTGTTTTCGTCGCAAAACAAGTACCACAAATAATCATCGGAATTTCAATCGTGATTCTTACAACAGCCTGTTTATGCTTAATTTGTATCGTGAAATTCTAGTTTACATCGATTGGAATTAGTTTTTACAGTTTGTTAAGCTTCGTTTTTTTTTAACTTTTTTTTCAGTTATATTTTTACAAAAACTGTTTTCCAATTTGCCTATTTTACTGTGACAGTCGAATATTCCCAAGTTTTAGTTTTTTTGCTCAGATCCTCTTATCACATCACGAAGAAAGAAAAACGAAACTAATCACAAAAGCTAGTTTTTGTATTTTTGACTGTTCGGAACACTCTGTGCTATATGCACTATTACCCGCTCTTCTTGTTTAAAAATTCACAATTGTTTCATGAAAACAATTAATCAGTGGTTCATTTTCTGTATGCTTATTTTTGTTGACTAGTGTTTCAAAGTGTGAACTTTTCTCTGTTTTTTAGCAATTATTACTATAAATGAAATTCATTCAGATTTATTTCAATTTGTAAATTTAGATAGTGTTTCTTCTGTTTTTTTTTGGTTGGAAATCTCTCAGGTTTATGTTATATCGGTTCAGTTGCCTCATTTATATGTCTTTTGGAGGAAGTAAATTCGTTTAGATTGGTTTAAGACATCTCTTCATCGGCTCAGCCGTCGTCTGTCCAATTAATGAATGCTTAGATAGCGCTTGATAAAAATTTGTTCAATATTGTTCTAACACTGGCAATGTTATTCCTTGATATGATTTCCTTAAAATGAACTAATCGAAACTAACGAGTTTTTGGCGACATTTTTTCATATTTTTCAACTCAGTGACTATCATCTTATTTTCTTTCCGATAGCTGCCGTGCTATTTTTGCTATATTATGTAGCGAAGCTTCGCATCCATCTTTGTTTTGATTATGCATACAAACATCATTCGTTTTAGATCAGAGTGAGCATCGCTATCTGTTAGAAGGAAACGCAGACAGTTCTATCTCTCTGTACGACTTGGAAAAAGTGAACCAACAAAAAGAACATATCAACCCTTTAGTTGTACTTTGCAATGAAGTGCAGTACAGAAAAAGTATTGTTACTCGTTCTAGTAGAGAGGAAAAAGGACTGTTTAAGTTGACTCATGGGGCCCAAACGAGGAGTGTTTCTAGAGTTCAATGGTGGCCCCTGGATAATGGAATATTCACATCGAGGTAAAATCTTCTGAAGTTGTTTGTTTGAAGTGTTAGAGCTTGATAGCCATCTGCTGTTTTGGTACCTTACAACGAATATCCCATCCTATAACTAACGGATCAAACGTTAAGGGGCTACTCAGCTTATTAACGATTTTAACTATGCGTAATTTTTGTAAAATCACTCGGTACACCGCAAAATTGATGCTCATTTGAAATGGGGAGTTCATCCTCTTTAAATCAATGGGAAGAGAAAAACATTTATGAAATCTTTGTTTTGAAGTTAAATCGGAAATTGTATTGCTATTTTTGAAAAAAATTTGCTTTTTTATAATCTACCTTTCAACGTACTTAAGAGGTTTGAATTTTACAGCTCAAAAGCTCGAACAATTTTTTTGTGTAGTTCGCACGATGGATCACTTAACATATGGGACACGAATGAACTCAGTGTTGTATGCGACCATACATCGCCCAGTAGTGGCCTAATGTATGGCCATGAAACGAACCCATCGGGCACTGGGTTGATCGCGCTGGCGACTGAAAAAGCGGGAATAGTGTTGTTCGATATGCGAAGTGGCTCCTCGTTTCACAAGATTGTGAGTAGAAATTCGACCGGGGATAGGAATTGTCCCATCATGGATGTGCATTGGAGTCCAGGCAACGAAAGGTTTGTTAACTTTTCACTGCAAAAAGGGAGAATGGAGAAATAGTTCCAATAATGGGCTGTTTTCGTGTTTCTCTCGCAGTTCAATTTTTTTTTCTCCCACATTTCAAAATTGTCTTAGTGGTCTTTTACTTTATTTTACGAGAATAACACAAATGCGAGACGCTACGATAAAAACATTGGAGTTCCAATATAGCGCCACATCTTTGTGATTTGACTTGTGGAATGGGCACCTATAGTTTGCATGTTTTTTGGTCGAAATCTGAAAAAGAGCTCTGAAAGCACACGAAGACTCGGCTGTGATTGATAATTCTGCTGGTGATCGCGAAGTTAGCCTGTGTTAAATGTGCTATCGGAGCCAGTATATGACTATATCTTTTTTAACTAGCTTAGTCCGTCAAGGCGGTAAAATCGATTCAAAAGTCAGTTCAGATACTACATTGATGTTGATTGATGTAACTTAAATCGAGCTTGAACTCGTTTTGTGTTTAGACATCTGCTGAGCTGTAGTCATGAAGACGGCCTCAAACTGTACGACATTCGTAAAGGCAAAGTTATTGTTAACTACATCAAACCACCGCACCAAAATAAAGATTCAGCCAAAGATAAACTTGCGCAGAGAAAGAAAGGCAAGAAGCAATGGGAAGACAGAATTGGAACAAACAATTGTGAACCTGTTTCATCTTTGTTTACCTCGGACGGAGGCGCTTCTGTTATTTGTTTGTGTTCAGACAGCCGATTGTTCCAGTTTGATACGCCGACAGGTAACATCTGTTTGTAAATCTTTGATAAGAGTTGGTGTTAGGGTTTTAATAGAGAGCGACAAGCCGGAAACGAATTGTTACCATGCTTTAAACTCATATGAGGATGATTTAGAATGGGTACTGTTCATTGGCTGTTACCAAATTGATGCTAGACAAATAACATCATTTCATGCTAACTAAATAAAATCGCTGTGGTTACGGAAAATGAGTATGTGCGTTTGCAAATAAGGGAGTTGGGAGCGTTTTTACACTAACGAGGATAGTATCATAGTAGTATCGATCATTTGAGTTTTAGAAGAAGAAGAAGAAGAATTTATTTATCCAAAATCATGTAGATACAAACAACAATCATCAATTTATTTCCAACTAGTGACAAACAATTGATATCGAACCATTCAAATCAGTACATGAAATCGGAAAGGATAGACGAAAGGATACGAAAGAATATGGTCGTAATGTTCTGTGCTGCTTGCACAGCAATCGGCTATCAATGTTCGCATTTTTTGAGAGTTCAGTGTTTTATTCAAACTTTGTATTATTCGGGATGAGTGGGCAAATAGTTGATAACTTAAGCTTTATTACCTAGTTTTTATCATTAAAGGTAAAAGCAATACATTAGAAGATTAGAAGTTGCAATGGTTTTTGGCCGGGATATTTTTATAGAACATTCTTAGCTACTTAAGAAGTAGTAGTAGTAGTAGAATAGGCTTCAGAGCATTAGCTCTAGGGAATTTCACCCCTTTTACAGTCCATGTTTTATCTCAGTTTGTTGTAAACATTGCAGTTTCCACATCTGCATAAGAGTTTCCATGTACATTTGTTGACTTCACTGTACATTTTTTTGAAGTATTTCTGGTATATGTAGGTCAGAGTCAATTTGCTTGGTCTAAGGCTAAAAGTTAGGCAGGCTCGGATAAGACAGTTGTATAGATGTTTCACTCGTCTGAAAAAATAGTCGTCCGTTCTTTGCAAGCGGCTTTTTGGGATTTGAAATTCGCCTCTTGATGACTGTCGGGTGATTTCGCATGATTCAGATGGTTTTCGTTCTATTTCTACATCGTAACGATTTTCAAGCAGGGCTATTAGTATTAAAATGTCGTGCATTTCCATGTATAGGTTCAAAGGAAGAAGGTGCAGGTCCTTCAGTCTTTCAGTATAAGTTTTGCTTGTTCCCAAAATCCATTTTGTTGCTAACTTTTGAACTCGTTCGAGTTGTTCCATGTTCGATCTGCTAGGAGTCCATGCTTGGGATGCGTATGTTACAATGGGTACTACATACCCAGTATATGCGTTAAGCCTCGTGGTCACACTGCTTTTCATAGTCAGACTTCGTTTAATCTGGAAGAGAGCACTAATTGCTTTGGATGTCCGACGAGAGCAGTTTTCGTTCCATGTGAGCTTGTTGGACACAATCAGTCCTAGGTCACGCTGTGAGTTTACTAAGGAAAGATTTTTGTTCAGGAGACTAGCTTTTAAATCACCTTTGATGCCGAGGAGCGTTGATTTTTTGATGTTGGGTTGCATTTTGTTTTCATGTAGCCATTTCTCTATTTTCAGAGTTGCAGTGTCAAGGGAAGTTTGATTTAGTAGAATGGCCTTAAAGTCATCTGCGTACCCAAAACTGTCTGTGTCATTCATGGTTTCAGGTAGATCGTTTATGAAAAGTAAGAACAGCAGCGGTCCCAGAATTGAACCTTGCGGAACTCCACTGGTGACTTCTTTTAGGGTTGAGCTACAGTCTTCAATCTTAACGCATTGCTTTCTGTTGTTGAGGTATGAATATATCAGTGACAGCAATTTCCAGCCAATTCCAAAAATTTTGATCTTCGTAAGCAGAATATCATGAGGTACAGTGTCGAATGCCTTGGCAAAATCCAAGTATAGAACTGCAAGTTCTTGTACACCCTGTTGATCATTCAATTCGTATATTCGGTCAAGAAATAGAAGAAGTTGAATTGTGGCGGATCTACGCTTTCGAAATCCATGTTGACTTTCATGTAATCTGAATTTCACTTTAGTATAGAGTTTGTCAAATATTTTTTTTTCAAGCAATTTTGAGCAGCAGCAGAGTAGCCTGATTGGTCTATAGCAACTGACATCGGTTTTACTTCCTTCCTTGAAAACAGGGGTTACTTCAATAATTTTCCATATTTCAGGAAAAATTCCTTTGTTAAGGCATGTTTGAAATATAAGGGTAACTGATTTGCTTAGAGTTTTGTGACATGATTTCAAAACGAGATTGCCAATGTTGTCGTGTCCCATTGATTTATTGACATTAAGTTGCCTCATTATTTCGCTAACTTGACTTTGGTCAACAATAAATCTATTCAGCTCACTTTTTGGAAAGAGGATACCGGTTTGATGTTCTTTTGTGCCAAACACGCTGACGAAATAGTCATTGAATAATTCACATTTTTCTCTTTCATTTGATGATTCAGTGTTTCCGTCTTTGACCGTCGAAGGAATTGTTGGGGTCTTGCGTATGCGTTTAAGGTATTTTTGAATTTTGCTGAAAGTTCTTCCTTCTAGGACGGTTTTTTCATATTCCGCTAGGTCATCTTCGGAAAACCTTTGAATATCTTTTTCAAGTTTTTTGATTCTTTTCATTGTTTGAAGTTTTTTGATGAGGTGGGAGGTGGCTGGCGTGATCCAGGGTTGTAACCTTGATCGATGCTCAGTTATTCTAGGTACAAACTTTTCGATTTTTTTTCCCACAGCCATTCGTACCATTGTCGGATAATTTCGTTCACGTTACTGTAGCAGTATGGGATAAACGGTTCAGTTTCTATTGAAGAATTTAAGCTGTCCCAGTCTGCTCGTTTGAAAGCATATCGATGATTTGTTATTTTTGGAAGGTTAATGCAGCTAAAGGCGGCAATTGTGGTGTAGAGTGGTTTGTGGTCAGAGAACTGACTAGTTAGTTTATCTCGAATATTCCTGTCGATTTGACATTGTGAAAATAATTCTGGATTGTCGCAAAGCAGCACGTCTAGTTGATTTGGTGCATGTTGTGAAAGATTTAGTTCAACTATTTTGTCCAGTAGTTGACTCTCGTATATGTCAGATGAGGAGAGTGCTTCCCAGTATGTTTGTGGGAAGTTGCTGTCACCGGTGAGTATTAAGTCACAGAGGTCATTTTTGTTGTCTAGTTTGAGATTTGCCATTTCATTCATCAAAGTTAAGAAACTTTCAGTGGACCATTGGTAGGTGCTAGGAGTGGGTGCATTATAAACACAGCTTAAGATAATTGATCTTTTATTGGAATGTATTTCTATGATGAGATAATCAGACTTGAGACTCTCAATGGAATGTAAGTCATGTGAGATTTCATTTTTGATGGCAATGAGTACACCAGGGTGCTTTGTTTTTCTGTTATCTGATGTTTCTTGGTCATTGCGATATACTTGATAGTTCTCTAGGAAGAGCGAGGCAGTTGTTACGTCTTTTGTGAGCCAGGTTTCACAGAGACAGATAATATCGTATTCTTGAGTTTGCTATTGCGTTTGTATTTCATTCTCCTGTTTATATCCAGGATACTTCTGGTGTTGAATGTCAACATTTTCATCGGTCTTAGTCATCCGGTAATGGCAACATCACCAGCTTGGTCTGCATTATTATCGGTTTCCTGGGAAGTTTTACTTTCTTCATAAACAATCCATTTTTCGTTTTCTTTCAATTCTAGTTTAAGATTTCTGATTTTTATCTTGCTCGGGTCGTGATTTTTGCTATCAGTTTCCTCCTTTTCTTGAGACAATTGTTTTCCTTTTCGGCATCCGCCTTGGATAACTCGGGACTGATGAAGACCCGAAGTTCCGAGAAGTCTTTTAGTTTGGAAGTCGATTTTAGGATCAAATTTTTACTTATGCTACTCTCGGCGTTGAACAGCAGGGTACGAGGCCCCTTATCGGGATTGAATTTTCCAATCCGAGTTGCCTTGGATAATTTTCTGTCGTCAATTTGGAGGAATGCAAGTATTCTGTCGATTGTCCCCAGATCTTCTTGCATTCGTTCAATGTCGCTTTTTTCTTTGCTTTCGGGAACACCTCGTATTCGGATACCAAGTTGAGCTTTTGGTACAGTTGGCGAATTAACCACTCTTCCTGGGTTTACGTTTCCCACGGCTGCTCGGAAATTGTTGCGTTTTTCTTTAAGTGTTTTCATATCGGCTTGTACTTGAGTGATGACAGTGCTGGATTGCTCCATTTTTTCGGTGAGAACCTTCATTTGTAGTTGCAGGTTATCAAGTTGTTCGTCAAGTTTGTTACTTGTTGTAGTTTTGTTTTTGACAAGATCGTCACGTTTGGGTTTGCAGTCATTGCAGATGTGGAGGAGGTTATCATTCAGTTTGATGAGGACTTTGACTTCATCGTAAGTGAGCATAGTGCATTCAGGGGATAGATGTAGGACCTTGTCACATGTATAACATGAGAACTTAGGTCCCATTTTGAGTTTTCTGTTACAGCTGTTGCAGTTTTCTCGCATTTTGATTAATGTTCGCTTGTAGTTTTTAAGGGTGTTTTCTTGAGATGATATGATATACTTATAGAACAAATACTAGATCGAAGTAGTAATAGAGATAGAGCTAGAGTCTAAGACCTGGACAACAAAGTCCAGTTCTTAGTCAGGGGATATAAGACCGGGACAACAAAGTCCAGTTCTTAAATTGGGGAGAAAAGACCGGGACAATGAAGTCCAGTTCTTAAGAGGATATATTAAAGTACCAACGTAAAGACCGGGACAACGTAAACACCACGGTCGCTGATTACGTATTTTCGCAATTGGTCAGCTAGTTGGATGAGTTCCTGATCGTCACTGTTCTTCGGGTGAAGGGCGTGATATAGAGAACTTGCACCAATAATGTGGATCATTGAAATATGAGGCAACCCCGGCTACCTCGTAGAAACATATGACCTGAAACTATTTGAATAACGATTGAGTTTTTGTTCTGAGGGGAAAGGAATTTAGTATTAGGTAGTTTTTTTCACACAAAGTCATTAACACAATCAGTGAATTGTATCGTTCCGAAATCACTCCTATCGATGTAGGACTGCATAAAAAAATGAAAAGTTTTTGCTGTGTTATGAAATAATAGCCTGGGTTTTGTAATTTTCAAACCAATTAAAAAGCGTTGAGTTCATGAATTTACTCTGCACGGACGCCCGTGAAGAGATTACATATTTTAAAATGTCAATGAACATAGTTATAAAGGTCGTTGTGATTTTTTCGCTTTGATAATGCTCGAAAAATGTGAATGGTTTTTAGTTTCAAAAATGGACGCTTGTTTTTACAATTTCCCCGGAGATCCAGTTTTCTCTTACTTATTGATCCATTTTTCTCTATTTGGTTTATTTTTTGAATAATTTTTCAGTCTTAAAATAATTTTGAAATTCGAAGAGCTGTGATGTGATATGTTTTTATTGACGAAATTTAAATCACAATAAAAAAAGTCCGTCCTTTTTCGGTTTCCCTGTGTTCATTGACATTTTCTCTAGTAAGTATTACCTATGTTGTTTCTTTAACTATGTGATTCCGGAACAAGAAGTTTTGTGGTTTTTTGCCTTTTCTTTCTTTCACTTGTTTGCGATGTGCAGCGTCGATTCTGTGTCAATTTTTTGTAAGCTTTAGCTGCTTATATCAACATTAACACATTCAAACTCTTTCAAGCTGTCTGTTTTTTCTATCAATAGTAACCTTTAGGCTGTTTGTTTTTGTTTCAGGAAAATTGCGTGACGTCGCCGTTCTTCCGGCACCAACGGTACCTAGTCACTTTGCTTACAAATTGTCAACCTCTCGGATCTTTCCATCGAGTTCTGTTTTCATCCCGAATGGATCCAGTTCTCTATTCAAATACAACATCCGGACAAGTTCTGTGGAAAAACTGGTGAATGCCCATTTCAAAGGGGTTTTGTGCTCTGAAGTTGACGATTCGTCAATGAGGTTGTTTAGCGGGTCGGCGAAAGGTGCCCAGCTTATTACTTGGAAGAGTGTTCAAAAGGAGAGTCTAATTTTGAACGAAAATGAAGATCTTAGTGATTGGGATACTTAGTGCTTAGAACACTTGTCTGGTTATTCTTCGTCGATTATGTTAGAATATGTCAAAACCTATTTAAAGATTGAAGTTTTTTTCATAGTCATCGACAGAGTGAGCAAATTTGGCGAATGCGTAAAATATAATAATTATTTGCCATATAAAGCTTTGAAAAATAGAAGAGCTTGGTATAATCTTGAATTGTGTAGGGATAAATTTTTTGAAAGTAATGAACGCAGTGAATACTCTTAATATAGGTCTTGGTGATTTTTACTTAGTGATACTTATTGAAAAATTTACTTATTGATCCAGTTTCTCAAATCGGGTTAATTTTATCAAACAAGCAAATTGTTCGTATAATACAAATGGCTTCAAGGGCATATATTTTTTCTTTAAAATTCAAAAGTTGAAGTTTTTTTTCAAAAAAACAAGTCATTTTGTCTATTTCCTTGGGTTCATTACTTTTCCGACTGTCAGTTGGCTAAATTTTCTCGGTACACCAGCTTAAAAAATCACTAAAATTGCATGTACTGAATTTTCATATTGAACACTTATTTCATAAAGCGCTAATGATTACTTAATTTTTGAGCCTTTAGCTAGAATGTGTGGGTTAGCAGAAGTTTTTTTCCTTTGTATGGGATGTGGAATTGGTTACTAAAACACCGGTAAACGCTAAATCGTTTTTTGCTAATCTGAACTTCGCTTCGCGACCGCTACATACTGTCGCTAACCGATATAGCTAGTGCTAATGACATCTATCTTGAAAAAATCATGAACTAGACCCGCTGAAAAATTTAATTTGTGATCTAACTTTTGAATTAACTGGAGTGCTATTTTTTTCAACCAACTCATCAAATTTTACTAAAAAGTGAACGGAACGGGCTCAATTTTCAAAAAATTTTCCTTGCATTTGTTACACTGATTAGTTTTCATTAGAGTGTAACTTTTCTTTCTTTATCTTATTTAGAATACTGAACGTAGTGAAGACTATATAGGTCTCGCTGATTTTTTTTCAGATAAAGTCTTAAAAGTCTCTAATAACTAAAGATGTGCTTTCATACATATTGATGATTTATGAATGCATTTAGGTTTATATACCCTTTTTGAGTTCAATTGAAATTAATCTGCTGATAGTGACGTAAACAGCACTCTCCGAATACGAACGTGGAAATGACTCGAAAAAAAAACGTGGACGTTTTCTAGTTTCGAAAGTGGAATTTAATTTTTAAATATCCAGCGGAATAATAGTTTTAACTATTGATCCAGTTTTCTCTAGTTGAGTTCTTGTTATCGAAAAAGCGCCAATCATAAATTGTTCTAGAAATTCGAAGAGCTTAAAAGGCGTCTAATTTTTTCTTTGAAATTCGAAAGTTGAGATTTTTTCAAGAAAGTCAGTTTTTTTTTGCGTTCATTACTCTTTTCCAAGCTTCGATTGGCTATGGTTCAGATCATGTTCAATTACATCAAATGAAAAATTTAATTAGCATATTCAGAGAAGTAAATTTGAAAAGCAAATGGTAACAAGGAAACCAGTGTGCTGTGCAAAGAGATTCGCTTCGCACAGAACATGGGTTACCTTGTTACCATTTGCGCTTCAAATTTATTTATTCTTAATATAAAAGTTGAATTTGTTTTTTGATGTAATTAAATATCATCGGAATAAGATGAAGAAAGAAAAGTTACATGCTACAGGCAAAGATGCTAAAACGATAGCAAAAATTTTTTGGAAACTAAATAGTTCAACTAATGCACGGGAACTGTTTATAAATTTTCGCCCGTTTCGTGTATGCTGTAAGTGAAATTTGACCACCACAGTTTCCGAAGAAGCTTTGTATTCGTCAAGAAAGCAATTTAAGAACATCATAAAGTTTTTTTGTTAGTTTTCACGTTCGACATTATTTTTTAAGTAAATTGCGACTGATTTAGATGACAAACTGCAAAAAAAAAGAAGCATTGTAGCTAAATTACCATTAAGACTGTTGTAGTAAAATTTAAATGGTAGTGGGGATGTAAGACGCTCAATTTTTAGCCACTTAGTTTCAATCTGAAAATCGGAAATATGCAGACAAGTTTCGGAGCTTTCTTTGAGCTAGTCAATCGGGCATTTTGTGCTGCCGTTGTCGCATCTCTGAGTGTATTTTTTCTAATTTGTAACTTGATCAGAGCATATTTAATCTAATTGCAAAAAAAATGCAGTTGTCATATTTAGAACAAATAAATTTGGAAAACAAATGGTTATAGGGAGCGCCAGTAGCTGTGCAAGTAGTACAGAATGTTCTGATCTCCATGGTTTGAGGAAAAAATTCAAACATCAAGAATACGATATAAGTTTTTTCTTTTCCGGAATTTTTTGATCAATAAAATTTTCTTGGAAATTTTCTCAGGTAAATGTTTATGAGTTTGAAAGATTCATAATCTAAAAAAATATCTTGTGAAGATGTACAACTGTCAATGAACGTAGGGAAGGCACTTATACAGGTAGTGATGTTTTTTTTTTTTTCGTTTTTAGAAATTGTTCACGCTCAGTTGATTTTTTTCGCTGTTTGGTTGTTTTTCTCAGTTCAATTGAAGTTTATTTGCTATAAGGAAGTCAAATTACGCTTTCCAATTATTTATGTGTAAAGGGCGCAAAACGTCAATGACCTAAGTTTCGAAAGTAGATTTTAAACCTTGTCATGAATAACCTAATCATCCAGTTTTCTCCAATTGGGTTAATATTAAAGGTCTATCAATCATAAAAGGTTCTTGAAATTCAGAGAGCTTTCACGTGATCTAATTTTTTTGCCGAAAGTTTCCTAGATTTTCCTCAGTTTATTCCCACTTTTCAAATGGCTGTTTCTAGAACCAATTGAGAGATTTTTCAGGCACGTGAAAGAATTGCTTCCTCTAGCTCGAGGTTCAAATTTCAATGCTTGTTGAAAGCTCAATTTATGAGGAACATTCCAAAAACAGCAATTTGCAACCCTATAAGTATAGTTTTTCAGAATATACAGTTTTTTCATAAATATCTTGAGTAAAAGGATAGGTTACTTTGGTTATTTAAGGTTTCGGTAACCCAAAGCTAATCTGAAAATTGATAGAAATTTATACGGAGCTAACTTTGCTTTAAAAATTAGACAGACAAAGAAAGAATTAGGGAGGGATCAAACAAGAAGCGGGATCAAAAGAAGCTCAGTTTAGTTTTCAAAATAATGATTTGTTGAAAATATGATTAGTTGGACAAAGGAAATTTTTTTTTTGAAAAATTAACAGATATTTGTGCAAAGAGTTTGTAAAGTATTTGCTAATAGAGCAGCGGATGAAATCAAAAAAAGAAATAGAAACATCAGAATTAGGATTTTCATGAGGGGTCTGCGGATTTTCAAAAAAACGTTCCGAATTTTTGTCGCCTTTTTAGATCGAGCAAATTGATTTTCCGAGCTCTCACATCACTAAAACTACCCCCTTTTGTCCAAGAAATTGCCTTTTTTGGCGCGTGCTCCCTATTTTACGGTCAGTCAGTCAAAAGTGGGAATCTTAAAATAGTCTCCCTGCTAAAAGGCCTCCGCCCCAAGGCATCAGTTAATGTACTTTACTGAAATTTCTAAAATTTGTTTTACCTAGTTACACTTTCAATTAGCTAGCACAGTAGCGGATTTAGGGGGAAGGCGAATCCAACCCAATTTTTACCCCTAAGTTTGGGGGGGGGTATTAACGCGTTTTAAAGTTCGAATTCAGTTCGTTTTGTCTGGCTGATTTATACAGTGCTGATTTAAATTATCCGGACAAAACGAACAAAACTTGAATTTTCAAACGCGTTTTTCTCAAATTGGGTTAAGATTAGACAAAAAAATGAGTAGAACAAAAGTTGCTTAGAATTTCATTAGAATTAATATGGTATATTTTTTTCTCCAAAATTCTCAACCAAAATTTTACCCCAAAAGTGGTTAATTTTGGCTTTTTTCAATTGATCAAAAATTACGCTGAAACTACTTTGTTAATTGATAAGAAAACTATATTTCCAAGAAACCCCTTAAGCAGCCCAAAAAATTTTAAGAAAAATTTAATCTCCAAAAACCAGTATAAGAGAAAAATTTTTTACTTGATAGTCAATAAATGTGATTTTTACTTTATAACCCAGAATTTCTGTTTAAAAACAAATTTTAAACACTTTGCGCAAATTTTTGGAGATTTAACCCTGCTTAAATTTTGTTAGACTGTGTAAGGGGCTTCTTGGAATATAGTTTTCTTATCAATTAACAAAGTAGTTTCAGCGTAATTTTTGATCAATTGAAAGAAGCCAAAAGACCCATTTTTGGGTTAAAATTTTGGTTGAGAATTTTGGAGAAAAAAATATACCATATTAATTCTAATGAAATTCTAAGCAATTTTTGTTCTCCTCATTTTTTTGTCTAATCTTAACCCAATTTGAGAAAAACGCGTTTGAAAATTCATGTTTTGTTCGTTTTGTCGGGATAATTTAAATCAGCACTGTAGTATTGGAAATTGTTGGTAATAATTTTTAGCGAACGATCTGAAACTGCTCATTTTGACGTGAGATTTTGCTGTTCACTGATATTCCGCTTTCAAGTTAAACCCGCTTTAAAAAAACCTACCGGAAATGCTGTAGTGTTTGACCTATTAAAATTGCTAAAGTTCACTGATATTGCCAAAAATTTGGCGTTGACTATATAATTAGCAGCAAAAAGTTCGGACAGACAGAATTAATTAAAATGAGCAATCAGTGCTTTTTGACGCTTCTTTGCATGCCAAATCTGACGCCGGACAATCTTGGACTTTTTGTCAGACCAAATTCGAAGAGCAAGCTCGTCGATTATCCGATGATTATGCTAGCCTAATTTTTACATGCTGCGATCAACATCCAGATTTACTATAAAATAGTTAGCAAAAGTAGTTAAAAAAACTAAAAACTAGAGTTATTTTCAACAAAAAAAAACAGATTAGGCCGTTCAAAAAAAACAAACGGAAATAAGAAGATGCTCAAATCATTCAAAATTTAGAAATTAATCGTAGAAACATTTTAGCCACCCTGTTTCTGTTTCAAGTTTTACTATTCGCCGCTTCGGATGCAATTGCCCGCCGTGGTTATAAATTTTGAGCGATAATCTGCGTTATGAACTTTCGACGTTATGTTTATTTCAGTTTTAATTGCCTTTGATGTCTAGACAGTTGCTCTTTTTAATTATTTCTGTCTGTCCGAACTTTTTGCAACTCTCTGTATAACGAGAGTAACAAAAAGTTGGAACAGACAAAATTAATTAAAAAGAGCAATCTCTGCATTTTGACTGATTTACGTGCAATTGGTTCAAAATTGGTCTTAAAGATTTACTTTTTCAAAAAAGTCATTCAATTAATTTAGTCTGTCCGAACTTTTAACAAGTAAGTATAAGTTCGGCAGTTACAAAATTTTGAAGGTCACCTAATTTAATCAGGGAGGTGACTGGTATTTGATTGAAATTGGACTTCGAATAAGAAATTGCATTGCGAGTTGAGAATTGGCATAACCTAAATCTGCGAGAGCTGTCTTGGTTAATAAATATGTCAAATTGATGCTTGAGTTCCGGTGATTGGTTTGTTTCATCAACTCATTTCCTTGGCTAAACAATTGTTTGTTTTCAGATCCGAATGAGAGTTTGACTGCCGATTTTAACGTTACACGAAACCAAGTTCAAAGTAAAACCAAGTTCCAAGTAAACTTAAGTTCCAGTCTAACGGCCAACAAAGTGCATTTTGTTTCACAACAGTTAATTTCATAATTGAATTTTAATAGCAAGTGTTGCGTTTCTTTTGTTACGGAATTTGTAACTAATTCAAGAAAGTTTATAGCACTACAACTAATAATGTCGGATAACGGATCTAGCTTGACCAGAAAGATGAACAACGACTTCGCTTATCAAGAATCGCCTGAAGGTACTGTCTATCGACCTTTTTCCATTTCGACAATGAACAGAATTCTGAACGCTTATGAAGGCTATCAAGAGTCGCCAGACTTCGATTTTCAATCATATTCATCCAGTTCTTCTGGCGGGACTCCTGGTGCTGGACTCTCTTCTGAACTCCAGGGAACCTTGAAGGTATCTGGAGTCTCAGAGAGCCCTGGATCACCTCCCATTAGTATGACTAGGAAGAGATCACTGTTCAATGACAACTTTAAGGATGATTCAGAGAACAAGGTTTCGAGTTTGTTCGGACCAGAAGATGACTCGGAAAACCAGATTCCGAGCTCGCTCGGTCAGACGCCGGTAAAGGCGGAGAGTAATGTCACAAAAGAAGGTGGCGACGTTGGTGGGACTCGAAAGCGAAGTATTCAACGGAATCCGAGAAGCGTTTTGGCGGAAATAACAAATAATTGTTTCGAGCCAGTTCTCAATGTGTCTGGTGAGCTGAAACCAAATTTTAATCCTAGCTTCATTTTTGTTAATCACCTGTGGTTTTTCTGTAACGTAAAAAGTTCTGAAACGAAAAATTTGGATTTCTTAACCAGGACCTCTGGTTTTCTCGTGGGGTGGCGGGGCGTTTTTTGGTCGACCAAATTGATTTTCCGAATCACTATAAATACCCCATTTCGTCCAAGAAATCGCCTTTTTCGGCGCGTGCTCCCATTTCAAGGTCAGTCTTCCAAAATGAATCTCAAAATAGTCAGCAGGGTATCGAATTCCTGTTAAAAGACCTCCGCCCCCCTAAATCCGCTTATGTCAACTAAATAACACATTAAGTTATCAGTTAATTGTGAGGTATCAGTTAATTGTGAGGTATCAGTTAATTGTGAGGTATCAGTTAATTGTGAGGTATCAGTTAATTGTGAGGTATCAGTTAATTGTAAGGTATTGTAGTTGTAAGGAATGATAGTGAACTGAATTTTCTTAAGTTTTGTCTAAATTAGTTACGATTGCGATCGATAGACTTTGCATGGTGGTATCGGAAATGGTGCTAAGACCAGGCTGAATTGCTTGTGTTTTGTCATTTCGAAACTTCACATTTAAGCTCAGTGAAACTCGAATAATTTTTGTGACCCTAAATAGATTGTTTATTCAGTTTCCATATCAATAGCGACTGTGCGATTAAGATTTTAGAATTACTGATAAGATAGCAATTACAAACGTTGTACACTATTTAAGTAACTACCAAGAGCAACAATTTGAGTCGCGTCATTTTTGACTCCTGAACGCTTAGTAATATTGCATGACTGGCTGTAGAGCCAAGATTGCCGTTACCAAGCGATGCCAAAGTGCTGCAGTGCGGAAAAAGAAGACAAAGCGTCTAAGAAGTTGACGATTAAAGGCGGACTCACTGGTGGAAAGTCCAGAACGACTCAGCTAGCCAAAAAGCGGAAAAAACCTACAGTAGAACAGTATAAAAGCGAAAGTTTAGTAACACATGCATTTATAAACCACTCGACTATGGACAATTCGAAAATGAGTATCAAAGTAAGAAGGAAAAAACCAGGAGACATCTCGGATCCGGAGTCCATGAACGACATCTTGACGAACTCGGAGTCTTCGATAACGAGTGTTCCGGAAGACATTCCAGTTGCGAAAGTCGTTCGGCCTCGAAGCAAGCAACCACCGGATGAGAAAAAGGGGAAGAAATTGAAAAAGAAGAGAGGAAGGATTAGTCAAGTTAACACAGCGTCGGCAGAAATTCTAGATGACTCATCCGGGAGGTCTTCGGTGGTGTCCCAACTAACGTATGTCGAAGGAATGGACTATGCGACCGGACTAGGACTGGGTTACAGGATATCAACCACAGTTACCGATAAAACTAGCAAACACTCGAAACGTGACAAGCATGAAAAATCAACTTTAGTGATATAAATAGTTGGAACATAGTATATAACATGAACAAAAAACTAATTGCTGAATTTAATAATAGTCAGTTTTAATATGAAATATTTCGGCTGCAAAAAGTGCCGGCTATGATTGTTTGTCTAACTTGATATTTGTTTAAGGCGGCCAACCCAGAGAAAATCTGAATGGATCGAAGAAGCCAGTATCGAAGTTTCGGCGCTTCGATACGACACGGGCAACTGTCTCGATCCAAATTGAAGTGGATAATATCTGCGAAGATGGCAGAGGGAACACATCACCTGAAGGCGGTCGAGATCTAGTTGTATCACCTCTTGGGAGTGACGACGTTAACTCTTCATTCGATACCAGCTTACAATCACTGGAAGAATCACCACTCGAAGTTTCGACCAAAAAAAGTGGATCTATCTTCGATACCCTGATCAGTGGAAAGATCCCGGATGTTGCGGAAGAAAACAAAGCAGACGAAACTGACCCTAGCCACAAGCGCAGAGCCTCGCCTAACATCGGAGTTGTTCAACGTCCTAATTTAGACTTATATAGTCCGATAGTTGCAATGCCTTACAAGATAGCTGATGTGCAGAGCTTCATAGGGGACAATAGTAGAGTGCATATACTGCCTGAGGTATCGGGACGCCCAGAGGTTGCGACTCCTGCGAGTGGCGTTGCCGATCTTCTCAATGGGATGTACACTCACAAGATTGAAAAGTTTGTTATCATAGACTGTCGATACCCATTCGAGTACAAAGGTGGTCACATTAAAGGGGCGGTCAATTTTTATCTTCAAGATCAAGTTAAGAATTACTTATTTCATGGCCAAGATAATAAGCAAACTGTTTTGATTTTCCACTGCGAGTTTTCCCAAGAGCGTGGTCCAAGAATGTTCAAATTTGTTCGCAACCATGATAGATCTGTGTTCCAGAACTCTTACCCTAAACTACGTTATCCAGAGATGTATGTTCTTTTTGGAGGTTATAAACAGTTTTTTCACCAGTTTCGACATCTATGCGAACCACAAGAATATTGCCCAATGTTACACCCTGCGTACTCTCTGGAAATGGTGCGAAATAGAAATGAAGAGAAAAAGAGTCGCGAAGCTCAAGCTGCTGCCAGAAATAAATTGGCAAGATTCCGAACAACTCGGCTGTAAACCAAAACTGCTTTTTTCTGTTTTTAATTAGCTTAAGTAAGGTCTATTCAATAGATACTGTTGATTTTAATGTTAACTTAAGACCTAATGATTACACTAATTCCCGATTATTCCTTAGATAATAAAAATTATCGCTTAAAGGTTAGTTTTCCAAGCATTCAGGCGATATTGCAAGCGTTAGATGTAAAAAACGGGGCAGTATAAATTCTCAATGAAAATGTTGGTTTTTACAGAAATAAGATAAAATTGAAATCATACTGAAGCGCAAGAGGTTTCCAGGGCAAACAATTTATCGTTGAACTTTGCATGCAATATTTCCTGTTTTTGGTGAGGTAGTATCAGTGTTCATAAGTCTCTTGTTTTTGGACATTGAAAACATCAAATGTTGAATATCGTTACTCTTCCATAGTTACCTTCATTTTTTCGAGGGAGACCCTTATTTAGGAAAAAGTGCATTTAAAATGCGTGTTATTTTGAACTAAACGCTGCAAATTTTTTAACAATAGGAGGAATTCATTTAATTTAAGAAAGATTCATTCTGAAAAAATTATATCAACAAATGTAAAAAATATTCAGCTTTCGCAATTAAAGAGGTTATTAAGGTTGTAAGAGATGTCAATTGATATTTTACCAGGTACATAACCCTTCCTTGTTTTAAGACGTATCTGGTAAAATGTATCTGGTAAAATATCAGTTGGTATCTCTTTCAACCTCAAAAACCTCATTAATTGCGAAACTATTCAGGCCAGTATGTATGGTCACTACTTACACTTGGTTTTTATTGACGGGCCCTAAAATTTTTCAAAGGCGCCATTGGCGCCAATATATACTAATATTGAGGGGGGAGCGCGCGCCGAAAAAACGCAATTTTAAAAAATTTTCAAAAAGTGCCTAAAGCTGATTTTTTTTCAGCCTGTTAATTCGAAATTATTGGCCAAAACGGACTTTTTAGTGCTTTGGCAGAACTTGAAAAATTAATTTGGCCGACCTAAAAAAAATGGCTACAAAAAATTCGAAAATTGTCATAGTCACTATTTTTCTCTCAAAAAAGTAGTCACCTGATTCAGGTTACTTGTAACTGTTCAGGTGGTGTAAAGGTTGCGGTGAAAGCGTTAACTGGATCTCAACTAAACAATCGAACCACAAATGAAACTCAACTAAACAATCGAACCACATCTCTTCAGACTAGAAGTGTTAATGCTAGAGCAATTTAATATAAATTTTTTTGGCCATTCATTTGCAAGTTCCTTATGCATTCCTAAATCGATCATTGGGTTATAATAAACAAATGTTACGATATAGAAATACCCTTCGTAGTTAAAGTACTAGCCCTAATTCTTCTCAAAAAATGTGCTAAGAAATCGGCAATTACACGTTCTGTATGATGCATGTGCTGTAGAACTATAGCATCAAAAAAGAAACATTGCGCAGACAATAAAGTTTCATGTTTCACTTGTGGGCAATGCAAACAACTCATGTCGATAATCGGTAAATAATCCCAAAAACTCACCTAAATCATGTTCATGAAGTCACCAATTCTCAGCTTCGATTATGAAAATATCTCGGCACAAGATAGCCACAAGAACTGCCAATGTCCTTGAGACAAATTGCTTTTTTGTCGGTCAGTCATAATTATTGCCGAACCGATAGTCTATAGCCGCTAGGGCTTACATATGCTAAGGGCTGAGTATGGATGACAGGAACTGGGTTCACCGGCGTGAGAGACAAGTCTCTCGGCCGAACGGACATCAGTTCTTCAGCGTACAAATTCATTGCCTGAAAAGTTACTGCATATGAGAACCAATGGCCGTGCGGCCGAGAGACTTGTCTCTCACGCCGGTCAACCCAGCTCCTGTCCCCCAATACTCAGACCTGAACACAAGTAAACACGAGCGGCTATAGCCCCATTTGACTGTTTGTATGAATGAAATAGTACGCTTGTACGAATAAAATTGTACGCTTTGCCTTTTTTACATTTGCGTTGAAGCAGTGTTTTTTTTTTCGTTTTTTTTGCAACGGGTTTTTTCCTCACAGCATCATGTTTTTGGTGCAACGAGTGGTTTTATAATGATTACTAACATGTTTTGAACTAAATATCCTGTATTCAAATTTCAGATTTTTTGAGCCATAGTGCAACCAGTGAAAAAATTCTAGGTGGAAAGTTTCCTCTGCGAATTTACAACTGTAAAATTTTGGATAGTAGGCCAACGTGCGATATGTCAAGCACCCACAAAGTGTAAAGTTGGGGCAAAATTTATAAACAGCCTTATTAATGCAAGTATCCGAGAGTTTACTGAAAGTAGGTTACATACCAATTTTTACCGTTCCGAAAAATTTTAGTGGTCCGAAAACCCGTGTAACAGATTCTTCTGAAGGTTGTATGGAGTGGGGAAATGTGAAAAGGCTTGAGGCATACAAAAGACAGAGAAGAAAAGGCGATTTTTTCTTTGGTATCATTTTCGTGAAAATCGGCACGATAATGTTCAAACAGTAATTTTTTTCAAAGTCGTAAAATAAATTAAAAATCTAGTCCCATGCTTCTGTTTCTTAAAAAAATCAACTTATTTGTCAGCATGCATAAGCATATTTAGGTAGTTTCTCTTCACCTTGCCGCTTTCTTTAGGGCGTTTTCCATTTAACCTTCACAATTTTTCTTATTTTTAACTCCCCCCTTTTAAACCCTATCCCTTTCTCCAAAACAGCTTCGCCATTTCTGAGATAAATAGAAACAAGTGATCTCCATAAACTGTTCTTTTGATTGAGCTCGTCTAATCAGATTTGACCGGAAGTTTTGAGAAACTGGAGGTAAGTCCGACTGAAAGTCGAGATGTCAAAAGTAGCTCTTCATATGTCCATAGTGGCTCTCCCTACCACTTGAAAGTACTCTTGATGCAGGAAGGTCCATATGCTTATTTTCTCTATGTATCTTACGTCACTCCCTATAGCCTTGGGAGCGTTCAATTCCAGGTAATTTTGACCCTCTTTTAGATTTTGTCCGTTTTCTCCAAAGATCCTCCCATTTCTGAGTCTAAAGACACACAGGGTCGCTTTTGAGAAAACGGAAAAAAAAATCTAGAGCAGGGCCAAAGCAACTTTCTCAAGGCCGCAGGATGCGGTGTTAGATGCAAAGAGAAAACCCAATGGAGAAATCAGTGTCTATGTTTGCCGAAAAATTGAAAAAATCAAGAGAAAAGAACATTTTTCAAAAGCGTCTCAAAAAGCCAATTCTCGTACGTTTTCATAATACGTGTTTTTTCAAACAAGAAAAAGATTCAATTTCTTCAAAAACTTCAATTTTTTCAAATTTGAAAAAGTTTGTTAGCACTATCTTGTTGATTTTCTAGCGTTTTTTTTTCCAACCACCCTTTAAACATGTGAAGAAACTATCGATTAGCCTGAGTTTCTTTCCGCCCAATTTTGATTCACTAAAAAATATTTTGGAGGCAAGACTGGAATGGTATTAAACCTCATTCTGTCGGAACTTGATTGACAAAAAATTTCAATAAGAATATCGCAGTGTTGATAAAAATTGGCGGAGTTGAGAGAAATCGAGGAAAATTGGTTAAGAACTACATGCGTTGTTACTTGCATCGCAACCAGCTATCATTTTTTGTAATTCGACAACTATTTATTGAAGATTTTGGACCGATTTTGTACTAGAGTCAGAATTTTTGTTTAAATTGATCGATTGCTATTAGAGTTATAAGCTCTTTTTCACTTCCCGAACACTTCAAAAAATTTCTGAATTCATAACAGTCTATGAGAACTGTCTGTTTTTTTTTGCGTTTTTTTTCCAACCACCCTAAAAACGTGAGAAGGAACTATGGATTAACCTGAAATTTTTCTTCCCAATTTCGAATGCCTAAATTTTTTCTTGCGTTGTTACTTGTATTGCCCAACAACTTTTTGTTTTGGATGTTAGACCGACTTTGCACTAGTCCCAGAACTTTTCAAATTGATCGGTTGCTATAAAAGTTTGAGGCTCTCTTTAACTTCCCGCTTATTTCATTTTTTTCAGTTTTTTTTGTATAATACTATGGCTAAATACGGATTTTTTTTCCTGTTTTGCAAGATGAAAAGGCTCTTTTCCACTCCCCTATTTGAATTTCAGTTTTGGAAAACTAATTTTACGTTGTTGTAATGAAATGAAATTTTGCATGATGATGAAATTAACTATTGTGAACATATTTGTTCTTCATACTTTTCATCGTAAAACCACGCATTCAGCAATAATAACAAGCCAGACAACTGAAAAAATGGCTATTTCTCCTTTCTCAACCTCACATAAGCATCAATTTTATGATGTGACGAGGGGTTTTACTAGGTTAAACATGAAGCCCAAATATATGGACAAGGTGAACAAAATTTCACTAGTCAAAATTTGCAGGTGGGGAAGGAAAAAGCCGAAACAGTTAAGGAAAGTGGAAAAGAGCCGATGAAAAATGTGTTCGAAATGTGATTTTTTTACCATGCAAATTTTCATTGCATTTTTTACAAAGATTAGTGGCTCTTTTCCAGTTCTCTCCTTTCAAAGTACCGAGTTTAATGTTTGTTTTACGAGTTATTACGGCTAAAAGCGCTATGTTACGCTGGCAAGTATGAAGAACAAATCTGTTCACAGTTGTCGTTTCGTTTCACTGTTCACCACGCCAAATTTCATTGCATTATGACAAGGTTAAATAAGCTTTTCAAATTTGAGTTTGAAAGGGGGAACTGTAAAAGAGCCAGATTAGTCGTTTTATCGTTCCTTCTTTAGATTTCTTCCAAATTTCGATTACCGAAAGCCTATTTTAAACGATTTTCAATATTTTAGTAAGTAATAAAATCATTGCAGCTTGAAACAGTGATCGAAGTATTACAAAATTTTTCATGTGTTTAGTAGCTTATGAATAATTGGCTCTTTTCCTTTTTCCTCGCCTGCAAATTTTTACAAGTAAATTTGTTGATCAAAATGTGTGCGTTTTTTTTAAAAACAAAAATTGGCATGTGGTTGATTAGCGGCATTGACAAACATATTTGGTCTCAATAACCAATCTTAACTAACCAACCATTTTTATGATTTAACGAGTGGAACACTTTTCAAGGAAATGTATGAAGATCAAAAAAAAGTTTGGGCTCTCTTTCCTTCCCTCCCCCCACCTAAAAAAAATACAAATAAAAAATTTGTTCACATTATTCGATTGTTATGAAAAATTCGCATACGGACTAATAAGGCCATGGGGGGGGGGGGGGGGGTTTCAGGAAAAGAGCCAAAGTTTGGAATAGCATATTTACTCCACATGCTGTATTCTATATCAATGTAAAAAACAGCATAACAAAAGTTTTACAAGACAAGGTCCAGGTGGGGAGAGGAAAAAGCTTCGAGCTTTGGAAAAAAATGAACTAAAATCTGATCACTTGTTCGTGAGAATTCACGTCAAGTTCCGGCGGGAATTTGTCTGGACTGATCAAAGAAAACCATCCAGAGTAACATCATTGACTTTTGACTTCTTGGCAACGACTACTTCAACTCAACTTGACAATTTGATACTTTTTTATTCATTAAAAACCCGCAAAAGTAAAGAAAATCCTTTAAAAAATTATTAAAAAATTTAAAAAAGTGAAAAAATGGTGTACTATCATGGACATGGGGGTTGGGGCCATCACGGAGGATACCATGGAGGGTGGGGACATGGTGGACACCATGGTTACCACGGAGAGAGGCACCATCTGCCTACGGGGGGATACTACTCCAGTTATCCCAATCTAGCCCACGCTGGCCATTACGGAGGGGGACATTTGGGACATTATGGGGGAAGTACGCATCACTTGCATGGAGGATGGGGACACCACTAGACTTCAGAGGTGACTTCAAGTAGACAACACAGACAATTTTGGACTGGCTCGTTTTGTTTTACTGACTGATGACTTTTTTGCCATTTGATGATTGAGACCAAGCTGTATATACTTAACCAAGAAATAAATATTGGTGTTATGACGAAAAATGGCTTTCTGCTATTTTAAGCATACTGTACTCATAAAGATCCTTTCACGTGACAGCTTCCATCAAACTATATGACGATCGAAATAGCAAAATCATTGATCCTAGCGATGCTTTCTGTTGTTCTTGTGTATAAAGAGCTATAAGGGGGCATCGCTCCATTAATTAAGATTTTTTTTAATTTGGAGGTCTGTAGCTTTCCGTTGGGTCAAGGGAGAGGATGTGTAGGCATGTGAATGACGAAGGGAGGGTTTTGTCATTAACGAAGAATCAAACACCTAAAAAAACGCTAATTTCTGGTCGAAAGCGAAATGGCTGGCCTAAACACCTCAAAAAAGTGTAAGAATGTTTCAAAAACTAGCCTTTTGTCCAAAAAAAAATCGCGAGCATGCCAGTGTTGGGGGAGGGGGGTCAAATTGAGACCCAGTACAAAGGCCACCATTCAAAAAAGCATGGTCATTAGTAAAGGTATAGGAATGTCGATAATGCCTAAAACTTAATTTTGATGTTTGCGCCTGTTTTGATGTTTGTGACTGTTTGTCGAGCGCCCTTGGAGGAATTTTAGAGATAGTTCTGTCAAGTGGCTTTCTGGGGGGAAGGGGGACTAACTGGAACTGGCTTTAAAAGTCTGGTGGTTCACCGCTGGACCTACTGAGCTCGGGTGGGATTGTTCCTTGTTTCTGATTTTTTAAGTTCGATTTCAAATTTTGAATCAATTAATTTGTCTTTCATTTGCTGATTTATTAAACTTCTACTAACCGCTTATCATGGGTTTGTTCAGTCCCTAAAGTCGAGTCAAAATTCTTTTTTTACCTTTACGTTGCGTCTAGATGAGGAAAAACAACTAAGACTGTACAAGCAAAGCTTGCTTAAAACCTTCAGGATTGATAAATTGGATTGGATGTGATTGTTGTTCTAGTTGGTATCATATCAGTTGTGTAAATATTTCTCTCAGCGATTTTTAAGAAAAATCAATGGTTTCAGTGTCCTTTATGCGTTGATGTAAAATCTGTTAATAAAGCAACAATAGGTAATGATTTAATTCTTTGACAATTATACAGCCATCTCAAATGTCCGAGTACTCAAGAGAGTACCAAAAGACTCACGTGTTCCCATGGTGGAAAGTATGTCGGACAAAACAAATGGCATCTTCTACAATGTAGAAGATGATACAAAATGCCTAATTCCTTAACGTCTTTCTTGTTTTTTTTGGAGCTACAAAAAGAAGTGGATGCAACTAGATCACAAGCATGAACTCTTTGATAAATAATAAAGTTCGAGCAAGAGACGTGTCACTTCCAAAACCCCATCCTAAAATTTCAAGCGCGCTTCTGAGTGACCTCAAGCAGAGAATAAAGCTAACAAGTAGAAAGCTCGATTAAGAAAAAATAAGGGGAAGGATAAGCCTTGCTGCTTCGGATGACAAAATTGCTCCTTTTTCAACTGATAACTATCAACAATTGTTGTCTGTGCACCCTCAGCAAGCCAAACTTGCACGGATAAGCAGCAGATCTGGATGACGAAGTTCCTCAAAATTTTAAAGATCTTGTTAGTAAGTCGAATGGCAGTGCAGGACCTTATTTTCTGAAATCGCTTACTAAACTGATAAACCTCATTGGAGATGGCAAAGTACCCGAACCCCTAAGACCTTTTATTGGCGCAAAGCTTATTACCCTCATGAAGATAGACTGAGGGTTGAGACCGATTGCCATAGGCAACACGCTGAGACGTATCGCGTCTAAATGCGCTGGAAGCAAGGCCCTCTCCCAGCGACAAAATTTTTGCGGAAACGTACAGGTAGGATGCGGTATTAAATGAGGAGCAGAAATAGCTGCACACTTGTTTCGAAACCTAATTGAGCGCAACGACATTCCACAAAGCACTGTTCCTTTAAAACTAGATTTTAAGAATGCCTTTCATTCTCAAAATAGGGAGACGAGGCTCAAGGCTGAATCATGTTTTTTTTTTCAAATCGTCCCGAATTGTACAAATACAACCATTGCGCGTATAGTAAACCTGCTTACCTTTTTTACGGAAGGTCTATCATAATGCCAGAAGACAGAATTCAGCAAGACGATCCTGAAGCCCACTTTTTTTGCTGAAACAATTCAGACACTAGTCAAACAGTTGGAGTCGAAAATTAACATCTGATATTTAGATGATTGAAATATAGCTGACGACTATAAGGTAGTACCCCGGGACCTTAAAAAGAATCTGATATCGGAACAAACTTACGGCCTGAGCTTGAACACTGAAAAGTGCGAACCTTGTTTTTGGGACCGACCAAGAGTACACAGTATAGTTCAATTTTAACACAATTTCGAAAAACATGCCCTAAAATGAAATAAAAAACAAAAGAAGAACTCCTCATATTAGGATCTCCAATCTTTGCACTTTTTCGGAAAAAAAATTTCCTGACAAAAAAATTCAGTTGCTTGAAAGAACCTCGGATGTCATTATGGTTTTATTATGACGCCCATTATGGTGTTTTTCTCCTGAAAAATTGCTTTGGCATGCCAAAACTCCTATATTTTTTGCGTACGAGACCTTGTTTTTGCAAAATGATCCTTTGGAACGCTACGACAGATTAATAAGAAATTCGTTATGCAAGGTAACTAATGGGAAAATGGATAAAAACCAGTTTTTTCAAGCAGAACTTCCGGCAGCCAAAAGTGGCTTGGGTAATTCTTCCGCTAGTCTGCTAGCTTTACCCGCTTTCTTAGCCTCAGCAGTTGGAGCGAAAAACGCCTTAAGCGAAATTTTCGATTTGGAGCTTGTGGATCGAACAAATGATGATGCGCTTAAACGGTGGTTTGAACTTGAAAAAATTGAAATGGCTCCAGAAAATGAAATCCACAAAAACTGTACAGAGCCAATTTTTGACAGTGGAGTTGGAAATTTGATTTTACGACTCGTACCAACGAACTTACAAAAAATACAACGCGCTGCAAGATAGATTTGGCTCCCAATGGTTAAACATCATCCCGTGCAAACATTTAGGGTTAAAACTGCTGAATCAACAACTCAGAGTTTCAATAGGACTTCGATTAAGCTCAAAAATTTGCGAGCGACCTAAATGTGTTTGCAGAAAAGACGTTACCGAAGATGGTTGGCATGGCCTTTCTTGCCTCAAAAGTGCAGGGATATTCTCTAGGCATTGAAACATGAACGCCCGTATAAAGCAGAGTTTATCTTCAACTCACAATCCGTCTGATTTAGAGCTACGACACTTCTACAGGACCGATCAGAAGCGACCAGGCGGTTTTACTTTCGTTCCATGGGCTTTTGGTAAGCAGCTCTTGTGTGATGTAACGATAGTAGATCCTTTGACCCTAATAGCAGTAATGACGGGTCTGTTTGCAACCCTTGTACGGCTGCCGCTGAAGCGGAAGAGCGAAAAAATGACAAGTAAAAAAACTTAATAGATGATGGGTATCTTTTTCAATCGCTAGTTTTTGAGATTCAGGGTGCGGCCGGCCGCAGCAAGCAATCTTTGTAAGGACCTAAGCGTATACACTGAGGAACCCAGAGCAGACAACTTTTTAAAACAGAGAACAATCCTGGCAATACAGATTGGGAACGCCGCTTGCGTATTCGGAACAATAATTAACACAACAATTTTTGATGAAATTTTTTTTGTAACACATTTATATTTGTATATTAATTTTTTTCGTGTCGAGTTGCGTGTTTTTTTGAAGAAACGTAACACGTATCGAGTTTAATTGTAAGGACATCAACACTTATCATCTCCTTTTTATCATTATCACTTCCATATCTAGACAGTTCCTCAGTTATTTTGATACTTTTGACCTTCTGATTACTTTTAAAAAGTTTTCGAGGCAGGATCAGCGTAACAAAAATCCTAATATAGCCTCACAGTGATTTATTGAATTATTGGGCTCTTTCTAATATCCCTCCCTACATTCAGAATTCAGTTTTGAAAAACCATTTTAACGTGTTCAAAATGCTGAGAAATTTGGCATGGTAATCAAACTAACTATTGTGACCAGGGTTATTGAATATAATTTTACATCGTGACATCACGCATTTAGCCATAATAACACCTAAAATAACTATGAAGACAGAATTTTTGAAAAGTGGGGCAAAAAAAGATAAGAGCCAATTATAGCCCCCAATATAGGTTTTTCCCATTATAGCTTTACAGTAAACTTTAAATACCCCCAAGCTTATAGATTTCCCCCAGGAGAATATACTAACAGACAAATTTCGCGTAAGTCTGAGTTTAAAATTCCCCTATTTCAAAATTTGCTTGCATGACCAGAAGAAACGCAGACTCAAAGAAAGATCAAAGAGAGCGGTCTTATAGCGGGATCCGCTTACAATTCACAAATTGACCTCGTAATGATGTAGTAAAATTTTGTTGCTTTGTTCCGCGCACTGACGAAAATAGTTTCGGATCATTTTAAATTGATTTTAAATCGATTTCCAACCGATCCAACAACGTGCATTTTACGTACTCAGATCCATCAGAATTTCGGAAGATTCATCAGAATCTCACTTAAAGCCATTTTAAATCGATTTAAATCGATCCTTCTTCAAAACTTTAAATCGATTTAAGTGTCTAAAAAATCGATTTAAATCGATTTCGATGGAATTTCCGACTCACTAAAATCCATCCGAATTTCACTGAAATCATTTAGAATCTCACTTAAAGCCATTTTAATTCGAATTAAATCGATTTTTCTTCAAAATTTTAGATCGATTTGAGTGTCTAAAACTCGATTTAAATCAATTTCGATGGAATTTCCGACACACTAAAATCGACTTTTTGCTAACAAGACACAAAAAATAAGCTATTTAGAAAACTAAATGAAATTTTTTATCCTTGATATTT